AAAAATGAAGGACATGAAAACTCTAATAATAATAATGATGAATTTGATGATAATTCAAAAAAAAAATTAATAATAATATGAATCCTATTTGTAAAATTTTTTCAAAAGTTTTTATTAATAATTCATAGACTTGTATATTACAAGTTGAGAAACTATTACTATTTAACTGGAATTTATTCAGATATTTGCATTAAAAGTGAAAATTTGAATTTTAATAAACTAGTAAAAGATGATTATTCATATTGTAGTAGTTGTAATAATAATAATATTGCAATTTCAAAGAAATGTTTAAAATGAAAACAGAATGAAAAAAAAAACAAGGAAAAGTGTACAAAAACTTAGTTTCTGAATTTTAATTTATTGTGAAAATTAGCATTAAATATTAAAAAAAAGCTATAATAAAATGATTTATTTAACTTGAAAATTTTTTTATCTACAAATAAAATAAATAAGTTTAAATATTATATAACTTCTATATAATTTATAATTACGTAAAATATAGAACTTTCCTATCAATCAATTAAATTTTTTTTTGAAATTCTACTTTGTTACCTAGCTTGGATATAATAACTAATTTTTTACTTTGTATGAACTTATTTTATTAATGATTTTTCTTTCAAATTTAAAAGAAATTTTATTTATTAATTAAAATATAATTTTAGATATTTTTTAATAAAAGTATTTTCTTTATAAAGATTAATTTTTATTTATTTTTATATTATTAAAAATAACATATATTTGTATATTTAAATATTATTAATTTATAAAAATTTATAAATTTAAAGTAGAAAATTTTGTATATATTTATTATTATAATTATTAAAGATAAAATTTTATCTATTAATATTTAAATGGTAAAAAATCAAAATATAAAAAAAAATATTATTTATAATTTTATTAATGAAATTCTAAAAAAACATATCTATATTATTATATATTTATTATTAAATAGGTTATAATATATATTAATCAATATATAATCATACCTCATATAATAAAGTTAATGTTTGGACCAATCAAACCTTTATTATAAAAAAATTTGTTAATGCTATAATAAATTATTTGATATAATATAACGAAAAATTCAGTATATCATATGTTGATCATATGATTAACAGATTACAGCTAATCATTTTTTTAATATTTTTAATTACTTTTGTCATACTATTATTATGTTTACTATTTATGTTAGCTAATCTATTAGTTAAAGTTAAAGTTATAAATCCAACAGATTTTATTATTTATCTAAACTTAATCATCTGAATTTGAAAAAATTATAATGAAAAAGATATTACAAGTCATTAAACCTATAGAATATATAGAGGTAAACTATTTTTATTTTTTGATATGCAGTTTGCTGCACTATAATTTCTCAAAAATAGGTTACATATTATGAGTGAAGCATTATTTTGTTGGAATAACGAAGAAAATAAGTAATTTCTTATATTTTGTTAATTTTTACACATTATTATATTTTTCTAAAAAATAATTTAGTAAAACTGTGAATTAATTCTCTAAATATTAATTTAATAATTAGCTGTTAATTTCAAGAAATTTTTATAAATACAAACCAATTAATAAATATATTAAAACAAAGGATAAAAATTTCATTTGTAAAAAAAATGATTTTGTTAAGAAATTTGCTATTGAGACTACTATAATTTATAGCTAAATTTTTAATGTCATTTATGAAATTAATATATGAAAAATATTATAATTTAGTCAGAAAAGTTAATAAGAAATTTAAAAATGAAAAAAAATAATTGTTTCTTTTAAAATCAAAAATTTATTACAATAAAATTTAATAATAATCATATATAATAAATTTATTATTATAATATTAATTAATTATAAACTATCTTTGAATATATATATATATTCAATATAATGTTAATATTTTAAATAAATAAACGTGATTTGCAAGGTGACTACTTTAACATTAAATTAATTTATTACTTTTTTACCACAAAAAATATTAGTAAAGAATAATCTAGATTCTTTTTCAATTTATTTTTATGTTTATTATTAGAAGGTAAAGTAGCATCAATATTATTAAATTTATAATATTTGTATTTGCTTTAATGAGAGTATTTGCCAAAGAAACAGATTTTTCCTTTATTCTGAAATTAGTTTTCGTTTCTAATATATGTTACATTACTATCTTCATTTGTTCATACTCTTTAATAAATCTTTATTAATTTACTAAAATTTTAAATACCTTTGATTACAGAATTATTATTATCTACTAACTCTTTTAATTTTTCAAAACATTTTATAAGATTGAATATTGGGCAATACGTTCACTTGTCAATATTTCATAGAAATCTTTTTATAATTAATATAATTGTCTCACTAAATAAAATAATTTGATTATTCTTCCTAACTAAAGATGCTAGTCAAAACTCCCTCAAAATAATTTTGTCATATCCCTTACTATATTTTTAATATAGTTTTGGCTAATTTCGGGTTTCGGGGTTTCGTCGTACCCTCACTATGTTTTATATAGTTTCGGCTGTTTATTAATTGCCTTTTTTGAGTTTCGTCTCTCATCTTTATTCCTAACCTTCAATTATTAATTTTTTTAAGAAAAAAGAATGAATCTGAGTTGTTTGAAAAATTGTAAAGATGCTTTTTCATTAAAGTAAAGAACCTTTAGTTAATACTTTCTAATCTTCTCAAATAGGAATGGAAATTCTTGCTTAATCTCTTCAATAGACAATTTTGCCTTATATAGAAATAAATAAAATAAAATTATAACAAAAATACTTTGTAAATATGATCTAAATTCAGATAATTTTATATTTTTAAATGATGTTTCAGATTTCAAAACTAAAGTAACAATTTCAATCTTATAATCTTATGTTAATCCTGATAAGTTAACTTATCTCTGTTTAGAAGTTTATTAATAAATTAATTGATAGATTATATCATTTACATGTATACAAAAAAGAAAAGAAAATATTATTTATCATACTATTTTTATAAAATATATAATAAAAATAAATATTTAATGAATAATGATGTTTTTTCTTAATACTCTTTTTTCCAGAAAAAAGCTTTATAAATAAAACTATATAAAAAGGTTTATTTTGATTTTTACTGTAAAATCTTAATTTCATTCATATTTTATACTATTTAAATTATAATCAATGATATTAAAGTTATCTTTAATTTTTTAATCATATAAACTTTTAGTTTTAGGATGACTTTTAGAAAAGTTTAATTTCTTTTGTAAGTTTTTGTTAGAAATTTTACAAGTGTCATATTTATTCAGATATGAGAAAAAGAAACTAAAGATAATAAATATCATGTTTCAGATATATGCAAAAGGTTAACATTCAGAATGCTTATTTTACGTTATTAGTTTAATAGGAAAATATAAATTGCATTTTCAACACTACACTTATAGGTATTTTTGAATAGGTTTTTTAAAAATTATTTTAAAAATCTTCATTATATTAAAAAAAGTTTGTTATAAAAAAAATTGTCATAAAGAATGTCATTTACATATATAATTTATTTATTTTAATTCATTAAATGTAATATGAATTTTAGTTTAATAAAATTATATATAACAAGATTTTTTCTATATTTAAAAATATGTACTACACTAAAGATTTATTATATTACAAAATTTGTTATATCAAAATTTGCTATAGAAAGAGTTAATTGTAGTTTTTTTGCTATTATTTAACTTTTTATTTTTGTTATACAAATTAACAGAATAGTCAAATTACTTAAATTAAAATTAAAAAAAAATAAAAAAATGATTTCCTTTATATAATTGAAATTTATTCTAACTATCAAAGGAAAAATAGTTATTTTTTTTAAATGAAAATTAAAAAAATATGTTAGCTTTTAATATCTTATTAATTATAATCTAATGATAATAAAAAAGCAATTACAGTATTACTGATAAAAGTAAAATTTATATTCTTTCTGATTACAAATATAATCATAATATTATATATATATATATTATATTAAAACCATTAACTTAAAAAATGAATATTTTATCAAATCTACTAATAAATATAAAAATAATATTTAAAAAATAAAAATTATAATGATAAATCTATTAATTATAAATAATATATATATAATTTTCTTAATCAATATTATAAAAATAAAGTTATTTTTCTTTTAAAGGTTTCTACATTTTGTTAGATAATTTTTATTTTGCTTTCTTTTCTTAATGTTTATTATTTTTCTTACTTTTTAATAAATTTATAAGTAATTCTTTTTCTTTGATAAGATTCTAATGTCTGAATATCATTAATTTTAAAAATATAAGAAGCAATTTTTTCATTTTATTCTTTCTTATAATTCTTGTATTCCATAGTAGATTTATTATAAATTAACTTTATTATTTTATATAAGGATAATTATATTATATATATCACTTAAATTAACAAATGTATTATTATTTAATTGTTAATTATTAAATTTTAATATATTTATTATTATTTATATTGATTAATACAACTTTTAATTAAACTAATATAATTTTTTTTAAATATAATCAAATTTTGAGATTTAAAATACTAATATAAATTAAAAAAATATATTAATTAAATATAATTGAATTAATAAATTTAAATATTTTATATTAATTTTAAAATTAATAAAAAGTTTATTATATAAATATATTGTTGAAGATAATATTTATAGGTTTATATAGCTTTTATTAAAGGTTTTTCTTATACATTTTATATATAATTATGCCAATTTATGTATAAATATATATTTTTTTATTTTATTTTAAATACTTTGTAAAAATTCTATAAACCGATAATTGAATAATGTTTATAAACCAGAAAATAAAAAGATATTTATTTATTGGATAAATGATAGATTTGATAAATATACACTATGTCCTATAAAAAAAAATGAAAAAAAAATGAAAAAAAGCACTAATATATGCTAAGATATAAATAAGTTACATGAATATAATAAAAATACAATAATATCACTCCTATTCATCCTAAAAAAAAAATTAATTAAGTATTGTCAGTAGAACCATACTTATTATTGGTCGAACCATCCATCCTATTTGCCTCTTGATAAGCAGCAGATGATCCAGCTCTATCAGCGACAAGATTATCACTTTGTTCCTCAAGAATCACCTATTTTTAAAAAGGAAATGAAAATAATAATAATAATAATTAAATTTATAATTCATAAGAAATGTTCTTATGATTAATTTAAATAACCCTTACATCAGCGGTCCATAATGCGGCACCTACAACGTTTGTCCAGACTAAAATGAAATTCGCAACTGGAATTAATTCAAGGGCTACAGCAATGAAACCAAACGAGATATATTCCGGACGATTCTTCCAAGCGAATTTTAAAGATTGATTAACAGTCCACTCTTTAATTTCTGTATGGTAATGAATTTGATGCCCCCACGCCATTACCCATCCGTTGATGAAGCAATAAATTATTGTACCAATAACCGGAATGACATTTAATGGTAACGTAATTAATAGTGCGATAACCTAAAAGATAATACGGAAATTAAATAAAAAAAAAAAAAATAAAAAAAAAAGAAAATTAAATAAATTGTTAAATAAATCAATTTACTTACTTGAACCAAGACTGAAACAAATGTCGTTGTAAGTCCCGAACAAAAACTTAGACAACCAACATCTGAAGTTCGTTTTTCCAATACATGACCCAAGCCTTTTAATCTCAAAACATCATCAAACAAAGCATCTTGCCATATTGGAGTCACGATTAAATAAAATATAATAGTTGATACGACTGCCTCTAACAAACAAAATATTACAGACACAGTCCAGGCTAGCCATTCTGGACAACCAACGTCAATAAGACCATTAGCTTGAAGTGGTAATATGAAAATAAAGGCTAAGAACAGAAATAGTATAGCTACTATTAAAGTTAAGAATAATACGCAAATTATTCTTCGAATAAGACTCAAATTCGAAAAAAAGTAAAATATCCCTTTAATAGGGTAAGTTGAAGGTGGGCTTGACATTTGGAAAAAATGAAAAAATGAAAAAGATGGAAAAGATGGAAAAGATGGAAAAGACGATAATTTAAAATCGAATCCATCCTTTATGCTCAGGCGGAATTTGTATTACGTGTGGCCAAAAATACATGTTATTCATTGATAAATTTTTTCATTGTTTTCTTGCGAACTTTCTTTTGAATAATAAAAATCAATCTGATAATAATTGGGCTTTTTTTTTTAAAAAACGTGTTTTTCAAAAAAAAAAAAAAAAAATTTGAGCTAAAAAACGTTTCCGTAAATTCTATTCGTCACTATAATTTCTATTATTTTTTTTTTTTTAAACTTTTCGATATTCTTCATAACCTTCGTAACACAACCTTAATGTTAGAACACGTGATTAATGTGTAATGAATACCTACATTCTCAATATTCTCAATCTACGGGAATTGGATTCGATTTAGAAAATGACATACATCAAAAAAACGTTGGTCCAAGAAAAAAAATTTGACAGCTGGAATAAAAAGGCAATGTGGCGGTAATGAACTAACTTTATTTATGTCGTTAATTTAAGTGACGAATTTACTACGCCACCGAATATATCATAACTCAGAAATAGACAAGGTTTACCGATACAAATGCAACATGACATAACCTTTTTAAAATCAGAGATAATGTTGCGAAAGGGAAGATCAAAAAATTTTTTGAAAATCTGTAACGAATAATATAGGGTTTTGACGCATTTAGCCCATTGACAGAAAAAAAAGGAAGGTCAATTTGTTACTTTTATAGGAATAAACAATCACGTTATATAATTTGTCAGTAAATCCCCACATTTGCTTTGTTGCCTGGACCAAAACATTAGCAAAATTGACTGGAACTTGCCAGTATTATCATTGTGCACATGCTATTTATCTAATTTATGTGATGATCACGACTTTTATTATTATTAAAGTCTTAAAATAATCCATGATTTTAGAATAGTGTCAAATTATGAGTTAATAACACCGTTCCCTATAAGGAAGACCTTGGTCACATTTACCTTGTTTTGGAAACATCCGAGCCGATAAAAAGGACCAAACAGCTCACTCATTAAAATTAAAAAAAATTTGTTAGATCAATTGAATTACCTTAACCGAATCATTCATGATTATAAACTGGAAACAGAACTTAATGCGGAGACAAATGAGAAAAAAACACAGCCAACCAATATTTGCCTTTTACAACCTAAATCAATTATTAAAATGAAAGATTTCAAATAAAAATAAAAATCTCACGTCAAATTGAATGAAACGATCCTGTTCGAGCAAGAAAAGGTTGTTTGGTCAGCAGACCTCGTGATGACAAGGTCTCGGCGTGCCCTAGCCGCAAAAGTACCATTAACATTTGAAATTTTACAAACAATAGCACCCTTGATTTTTGTAATTTATTTTATGTACTCCTTGAGTGGATCAATGTATTCTTGTATGTGTGACCTAATTCATCATATACATAATATATCGAAATTTACTGTCCACACCTTTTTGCCAAATCGGATCTTTTCAGCTGAAATTTACATATCAAAAGATGTAGTATTACAATTAAATCTGTCAGGTGGACAACAAACATTGAAAAAAAAGGCGTCTTTAATTTCTTTTAATAACTTTATTTCCCTCTTTCCTATCACATAACACGGTCATGATGTAAGCATGCAACCACTGGATTAAATAAAAACGAACTGTTCTCATTTTTTTTTCTTCCTCTCTTTTAAGTGTTATGCTTGTAGATCTGAAATACTCGATGTTTATCAAATGAATTCAAATGGTAAAAAAAACCGCGTCTAACGTTTGAAGTGAATACGTTTGATGATTCTCGGGGGTTTTTCCCTCTCATCACTATTCAAAATAAAATAAAAAATAAAAAATCATCAGCTCAAAAAATTTGAGGAGTTGGGACTTTTAAACATTTCCCGCGTTGCGCAGCGTCTGCGCCACAAAAAATCAAGATCATCAAACCAAGTTTCAATTAATATTCGTCATTGTCGGCATAATAACATTTAATTTTATTGATAAGTTTCATCTTATCTTAAAGATTCAAAATTGATAGTAAATTTCGATTTCACTTAATCTTTTTATTTTTTTTTTGGGTTCATCTAACTATTCTAACTATGGAAAGTAGAGTTGTTTGAAGATTATTATTATACTTTCTTTGATCTTTTATCAACTGATAATCAAAAAGTAATCATATCATCGATGTTAAGATGAAATCTAAACTTTTGTGATAAGAAATTTTATTTATTACTAATACATTACAACATTTAAGTTACATAAGTGCATAGGTGACATGTAACTGTAACTAGGTGATATGACGATGACCCACTAAACCTTGCTTGTAATTTCAAATGTGTCACCGCATTACAACCGATAATTTGTATATTATATAATGGCTAATAAATATGTATGATGTATGATCTATTTATAATCTAAAAAAAATCATTTTTGTTATTTGACAACAAATATATAAAATATATATTTCATTATTTTAAAAAAAAAAAAAAAAATTTTTTTAACTTCAAAAAAATTTTTTAAAAAAAGAAAAAAATTTTTTTTTTTTAAATTAACCAAAACTTTTGAAACAAATCATAATTAAACTTGTTTCTGCTGTCACCCCATTCTACAAAAAAAAAAAAAAAAATTAAAAAAATTCCTATTTTATATAAAGTACAACCTTCCGTTCAGTTTCTTCTCCGTCTTGCTTGTGACCATACGATCTAAATCTCCCCTACTCTCTATCGTCTTACTCCTTTATTACACGCCAAAATAAATAAAAAAATATCTTATACCAATCTACATAATATACATATATAAATAAATATTTTTTTAAAAAAAAACCCCCCCACTTTTTTTTTCCACGATAATGCATTTGCAAGAGAAAATTATCCAATTAAATGTTTTGTTTAAGGAATCCGAAACTGTAATCGATGACTTACAAGCTTCACTCGTTGAATTCCTCTTGGAACTTCAAAAAGACTTGGACCTAGACTTCGTTCAAGTTGAACGTATAAGACAATATATCAATGACAGAGGTAACGGTTTTAACACAAGAATCTGTTGGCATTTTTGCTAATTATATTGATTAAATCATTATTTATCCTTCCTAAACATTAGGCACCCTATTTCGCTTCCTCAGACGAGCTGGTTTCGATTTCGATTCAGCCTTGAAAACTCTCAAATCCGACTTACGATGGCGTGTGGAAAATAAGGTTGATTCCATTTCACTCGCCGACATTCATCCATTATTTGTTGAAAAAGGATTATTCTTTTTTCATAAAACCGATAAATTTGGTCGTCCCTGTGCAGTTTTCAACTTGCGTGAATACAAGCGTGACGATGGATCCCCTACTATTGAAGAGGTGAAAAAATTTATCATTTATAACGCGGAAGTAGCCAGAAGGATGCTATTGGACAGAACCAGAGAATCAAGAGATGGACCGGTTCTGCAATACGTAATCTTATTAGATTTGAAAGGAGCCGGGGTTTCCACTTTGGTAAATATCTTAACGTAATTTTTCTCACGCGATTTGGATCGTCAGACCGATTTGTTTAAAAACAAATTAATAATTTTTTTCCCACGGGAATTCTTATTTTTAGGATATAGAATTGGTTCCTTTTACGATCGACATTATGAGACACCATTTTCCCGGTTCTGCAGGCTCAAGTATGTATTTTTTATTCGGATATTCGGATAATTCGGATCCGAAAAAAAATAACAATTTTATTAATCATCCATTTCTATATTGAACCTAGTTTTCGTCTTAAATTATGGGTGGATGTACTCGGGTATTTGGCAAATTGTCAAACGTATCCTTCCCGAAGAATCCCTAAACCGTATTTTTTTCCCCTCGGAGAAGGAACTTTGGAGTTATTTCGATGAAGAAAATGTGCTTATAGGTATGACATTTTTACGTCATTTGATTACGCCACATTTTACGCTGACGTATTGTTTCCTTTTATAGAATTTCATATGGAATAATGAAATTAACATTTTCTATTTTTATAGAACAAGGTGGAAAAGATACTTATGAATACGATTCTGAAACTTGCGATGCTTTCAGTTTTTACGGAAACCCGTCACCTGCCTTACAGATGCCTTTGAGCAGAGCAACATCTTTTGACTCTTTGCACGACGTATTTTACTCGGCGCATAATACTCCATTTCACAGTCGTCCATCCACTCCATTTTTCAGTAGACCAGCCACCCCGCATGGAAGTCGTCCAGGCACTCCCATTTCCAGCAGACCCGCATCACCCGGTTTGGATCACGTGGCCATTCCGAATTGGTTAAAAATGACTCCACGTTCACGCTCTGTTCCTCAACTTCATTCATTTACTCCTATAGACACCAATATCAATCACAATCACAATAGAAACAATAATAATATCTTATCACCGAAACCTTTAAAATCAATATCACAAAGTGTTTCTCCTATGGCATCTCCTAATCTTCGATTTACCGTCATCGATCAGGAAGTGCCCGCATTAACGTCGCATGACCCCCTTAATCAATATACGCCTACATGTAAGGAGGACAATGCTTTCCATCATGATCACCATCATACTCATCACGTTCATTTCCAAGATGATGAACAATTACATCATCCTAATGATGATTCATCATCGTCAACTGTTGTAAATAATCGTCATAATTATATTTCGATCATACGATCTAGAAGCGTGTGTCGCATAAAGCTTTTCTTCACGAGGATATTGAGGAGATTTATCGCACGCAGGGTGTCAGGAATTTTATATTACCTAGTCATGGTGGTTTTATTACGAGGTGGACTAATGGATGAATTCCTAAGATTGGTTACACAACAGGTTACCATGCAATTGAGCTGGAATGCAAGTACTGCGACGACTTTAACGACTGCAATTTTATCTGCTGCACTAAGTGGACGAAATGGTAACCGTCTTTTAAGATTGTAATTGATAGAACGATTGTGTGTATGACTGGTGTGAGGGATGAATTTTTTGAAAGTTGATATTTTGTATTTTTATTTCACTTGGTATAGGGAATTAAAAGAAGTGAATGATAGTGAAGTTGATATATATGAGTTATGAATGAATATTATCGCAATAGTCAAAATTTATGATCAATTTTCTATGGATTTATTAGGCTTACAAGCAAATCTATTAAACCAAGAATATTAAAGCTGACAATTTTAATTCAAGAATATATAAAACAATTACATCCTTCAACATCAAAAAAAAAAAATTATAGAAAAAAAAATTATAACTAATAATACATAAACATATAACATTTAAAAAAAAAAAAAAAGAAAAGAAAATATAATAATAATAATAATAATTTGAATTTAACATACAACAAGATTTAAAAAATTGTCAGCAATTAAAATATATATATGTAGCAATTTTTTTCTGATAGTAATTTTTTTTAAAAAAAAAAAAAAGTAAATATTTCCACACCCTTTTACATATAGTATAGTGTATAGTTTTATATTAGTAAATAGTATAGTTTTAAAAGTTAAACTAATTAGAAAAGAAACAAAAAAAAAAAAAAAAAAAATAATCCGAGTTTTTTTTTAGAAAAAAAAACAAAATTAATAATAAATAAAAAGCGATTTCATTTGAAATATGAAGATTCACACAAAATCATGTCCCACTTTTGTCGTTTACAATTGAGAATTTTCCTAAAAATAAAAATTGATGTATAAATACATATTGCATTCGGTTATAATATAAGGAGAGATAACTTTAATAATGTTCTCGCATAAATATAATTAGAAACCATGTCTAGAACATCTAGAAAATTTTAATGATCATGTGCGTACGCCATTTTTCAGTGCCGTTAAAGGGTAAGATTCACTTGATCACCAGGGTTTTCTCCTCGAGTAATAATTGGCTTTGGCCATATCACCAATTGAAACTTCAAACGTACTAGATGCACAGACTTGTCTTGCATCCTTCCAAGAATTCTTATAACATTAAATCATATCAGGTGCGAATACTTTATATAGTAATCAAAGTGACAACATTATGCTTATAACGCTTTATTTAGTAAAAATTGGATTAATAATGAAACTTTATATAATAAATAACAAACTTTAAATTTTACAATCAAGTAATATTCAAACCTTGTATTAATCTCCATTGTTAATACTATGACAGGCGTGTCTGATCAACTGGAATTTTGGATATATTTTCTTGAATATGGATCAAATCAGTAAGTTAAAACTGGAGATTCAAGAAAAGGACGAATTTATTTACGAACTAAAACCTTATAAAGATATTTGTTCAACGTCTGAAAGAAAACTTGAATCTTATGAACGTGATAATTCGCAAAAAAATGGTCAATAGAACATGGCTATAAACCATCACCCAATCTCTTCACCTGTCCAGCAAATTCACTCCTGTTCGAGATGAAGTCAACGTTGGCGATATATTTTCTAAAGCATCAAATCTGAAGTACTCTGGCATCGAAGAGGGCCATCTGATTTTTCTTGACCACGCGAGATTATCAAATTGATTACAGGAGATAAGAATCAAAGCACTGCTACTGTATTACCACTATGCTTGCTATTTTAAAGAATATAAAGGAAATTAGAAATATTACCAGAACTTAACCAGGTGCTTTCTAATAAATGAAGCGTTTCGTGCGATTTACCTTGAGATGTTTGAAAAGTTCCCATTACTTCAGATAGAATAAAGAGTCTAATGAGACAATGAGATGATTGTAAATGAATTTCACAAGATACCGTGTTATATTTAAGGATGGAAATTAAGGTTAATTAATATTTGGTTAATTAACGTAATATACGTTTTATAAATAAAATTTGCAAAATTATCAAATGGACTTTATTATATTACTATATACATATTAAGAATAGCGTCAAATCAAAATACTATCAACAAGATTTAATAAATCGTTATCATCATCTGTATTGCCTCCTTGAGCTTGCATTCTTAAAGGAAACAGTCCTGTTAAAAACTTTAGAACAATAATTGCATTTTACCAAAGGATGTAAACTTGGTTTATTATCATTATTTTCAATTAAATTTTATGTTAAAGTTGTCCAATGGTTCCAAATAGCTCCCTTCTTTTTCAAAGTAATTTATTGAAAATGTACTTTAGAAATATAAAAGGTATCAAGTTTTTTTAATAAACCAACTATTTGATAAGTTGAAAAGAAGGAATTAATATTAAAAAGGTAAGTTACATACTCGAATTTAAATATCGTCTAAAAATTTCTTTGATTTGATTGGTCAATTCAAAATCCTTTGGTTAACCAAAATGGTTAATTATCCTTCGGTTTAATTAACGCCCATCTCTAGTTATAAAAGAAATTATCCCTAACCAACGAGATGCAAATGGGCGAAAACGCAAAAATTATAACAAATTATAAAATGAAAAGCAAGGAATAAGAAGGGAAAACAACAAGTTTCTTTAGTTATGAAGTGATTACGTAATTATTGGTTTAAATAGTTTGTGTAAATCAATCATGTTAATCAATTACTTTCATAAGGAGAATTTATTGTTTGAACCAGCAAAATTTACTTTCCAAATTATAATAAAGTTTGCGCATCAGAATCTACAGAATTGCAAACAAGTTTGACATTCCCGCTTTTGGTTTATGTTTTTTTTAGATTTTACAAAAGTACATATGAATTAATAAATTAAATGTGTATTTTATATTAATACCATTACAACTTTTTTTTTTTTTTTTTTGAAACTCCGAATCATTTGTATCAATTGAAGCTGGGTTTGAAATTAGCCTTTTCCACTATTTAAATAGTAAATCAATCCACATCTATTACTTTTACTTTTACGCTTCCTTCTTTCTTTCTTTCTTTCTTTTTTTTTTTTTTTTTTGCTCAGAAATTGCTTATTTTATCCTGATAAAAGATTCCTAAAATGTCATCTCGATCATTTCAACCACAGTGCGACCTTCTGACTGAAAGAAATTTAAGGAAACATACAGAAAGCTTCGACAGAAAATCCCTTCAAGAACAATACATTTTAGATTATGTTCTGGAGCAGCAACAAATAAATTATGAAGAGTCGCAACATTCAAATGATGGTACTTCTCTGTTAAATATCTTTCTGTCATTCATTTATCAACTTTGTCCTCATTTTGATTTAAAGCAGACTATTCGTCTTCGGATTCCGAAACAAGCCGTAAGGCTACGCTTTCTGATAATTCGCGATATTCTGTTGAACATGGTCTACCTTCAATAAATAGTTCGCTCCTTATTTCGAAATCTCAATTACGAAAATCAAAATTATCTGAAACATCCGAGATTAAAAAATCAAAACCCTGCTCAAAACAAAGATCTGTCTCAAAGACCAGAAAGAAATTTTCTGAAAGGAGATCTCCATTGAGAGAAACTTCATTGAACCAGAGACGTAGTAAGCATATACAAAAAGAAAGGGACCAAAGGAACAAAAAGTTCTTAAAAAAAGCAAAGGAAGAATACTTGAAAAATTATTCACGAAGTGCTATTAATACGAACCGTCGTGAAAGTCGTGAAAGCCGTAGAAGCAACGGTATGCGTCCTAGCTCTCTAATAATGCGGGTATGAACGCGTAATTGTTAATGCAATGGTATTTCTTCAATTCTACAAATAAAAAAACATAATAAACATATATATATTTACAGAATTGGTATTCGGATAAGCTTGGAACAGATCGCATAACTGTAATCATATTAATAATTAACTTCTAGTCATTTATTTACTATTTTAAATAATACCTTATAACTTTAGTTTTTTTTTTTTTTTTTTTTTTAATAAATATGATTTTAACAGCTCCAACCGGATAATAAAGCTAAAATTGGGATTTTTAACAAAGGAAAAGCATCGGAAAAAGTAAAAACCAGAGGAGGTAAAGCTTAGGGTGTAACCTTCACATTGATAGATACGTCGTTTTAATTCACTTACAGTTCCTGATTTAGTATTCTCCGAAATTGATTTCCTTAATTCGAATTCATCGCGTAAACGAATAAATCAAAATGATGATGTTTTCCGTCAAGGTAATTGTTCTAACCGTTTTTTATCACAAATCTTTTATACCAAAAAATTTCATCAAAATGAGCAAAACGTGACTCAAATTTCAACACAAGATACAGATGAAATTTCGGATTCTAACCACCGTAAGAGTTTCAGGATTTCAACGATGAGGGTATTTATTTTAAATTTTTTTTTAAAATTATTTACGTTAAATTAATAATTTATCTTTATAGATAAAAAATAAACAAAAGCAATATTACAGTAAGTCAAATCAGCCAAATTGGTTACGGCTAATTCGAATTTTATCGTTAAATATTCAAATTTCCTTATCAGATTCATCTCATTATCTCGTTGTTTGTTTATAGGTGAAGAGAAGAGCATTTCTTCAAATAATAGTCAGCATCTTGACAATGATTTTAATTCTAGTTTGAGATCAAACGACAAAGGGGAAACGGACGCGTCATCCATAGGACACGCTCATGTCAATAAAATATCGAGGAAGCGAAATGAAGTATCTTCACATTTTGTTAGTGGTCAAAAAAATAAGAAGCCATCTAAATATGCGTCTCGATCTAGAAAAGAAAAGAAAATTACATCATCTTATTTTGCTAGCAACCGAGACAAAGATTGTTTAACACCGAAAGATAAACACAAACCGACTGAACAAGTAGATAATAATTCTTATATTGCTCAGACTGTCGATTCGCTTCGTTCATTGGCTGTTGATGCGGAAAACCAATCTCAAATTGATGATTATCAAGGGGATTCTCAAGTTGATAAAATTACACCCAAATCTGAAGAATCGGTTGTTGAACGAGTAAAGATTCCTATGAAATTAAATGAAGATTCAAGTACAAAGAATCTACAAAATGATCCAATATCGTCAGAAGAAAATAAAAGTGAAAAAATGTTCTCTGCCAAATCTGACAGTGAAAAAATGGTTGTAGATTTTAATCCATCTTGGATTAAACGAAAATCATTACCTTTGAATAAATTATCACAATTGCAGAACCAAAGTACGGCTAAAAGCAATGAACATCAAAGTAATCGAATTTATCGTGCAGTAATTACTGAAGGTGCAAAGATAGAACGATCAAATATGACTGATCACGATGAAGATAAGGAAGAGGAATTGAAAAAAATTCATAATAATTCACCTAATATTGAACTTGGAAATAATGATGATAATGTTAAAAATATTTGTCAAGAAATGTTTGCAAGGGATAATCATATGAATGTTGACCTCTTCGACGATCCAATTCAGACTTATCAAGGTCATAAAGATTATAGTAAATGTGATACTGTCGATGAACAATTAACTTTAGACATGCAATACAAAAGTAATAATGCGTTAGTATATGGAGGTATAGACCATGAAGGATCCTTTGAAGATTCAAATATTTACACAATTCCTACAACTTTTGAAGATCATCAATGTTGGACTCCTTCAAATGAATTTCCCATGTATGAGTCTCGTATTATACCACAAACGTCAATGATGGAAAATCGGGTCCCATGGAACAGGATGGTTCAATACCAACATAACCCAGATTTAATCGTAAATAATCACTCATCCGTAAACAACTATGAGCAGACTTGGGAAGATAGTATTAACAATTCACTATACATTGATGCGGAACATACAATGTACGACGAAACTAACCAAACTTCACATGATGAAATTGAAGGAGAAATAAATGATGAGACTAATATGGCAGCCTGCTTTGTCTGGAGGAAACATCGGTTACATTAATAATTTAGGAATTGAATCTATGTGTACGTGTAATTAAACGCATGATTTTAATTAATGTGAACTTTATCAATATATTCTTTAATTCGTGAAACAAAGTTGAAATCTTTCAATAACGTCAACTGTTCAATAAAATACTTTAATATCTTTTTAAAAAAACGCGTTTATGTTATTTGAATTTAAAGAGATCCATTAAAACTGATGAAGGCTTAGTTTTCAAGTTGATAAACCTATGCATGGTTATATCGAATTGTTGCGCAAACTCGGGCTACAAAGTTTTTCTTTGCAAGTGAAGCTACGAGAATATATTGCAAAGGCAATTCTGGCAATAAGATAAAGATTCCATCGCACAATTATTTTGAATTTACATTTCATCCGAAAGTTGATCAAGCCCATAGTTTAATAATCGAATTCGGATTTTTTGAGATTATGTAAGCGGCAACTAGAAAAATGTCTTTGATATGTTAATTTCACGAAAAATCTCTTATGATTGTTTAATTCTTGCAAAGTTTAATAATTCAGAAATCTGATGATCAGATTAACGAATTACCACGACCACATCACACGGAAATTTGTCTCGCTCTTTGCAAAGAACAATTTTAGACTTTACGATAGCACACGTAATAGTTAATAGATTATATCATGCATGGTAACATGAAGTTCGCCGAAAGACAATGGATATTAGCATGATACCATTCTCACAAACACCATAAAATGCAAAAAAATGATTATTTTTCACAAAACTTTATTACAAAATAATTCATAACTACGATATTTGGCAAGTATCGTAATATTTTAAATTTTCAATAAACCCAGTAGGAGCCATATGGGTCGTTTGCTATTAAAATCAGGTTATGAGACATAATAGCCAACTTCTCATATGATTTGATGGAATATTTCCTAAAGTACGCTAAGCATTCGCATAAATTAAACCCCTCCGAATCCTTTACCAACGCGTTTTTATTAATTGATGATGTACGGTGTTCTACTTGTACAGATTTAGTATATAAGATGAAATACCATTCTACATCCGTGGATAATATACCGTAGATATAATCATACCTAAATGCCACATCCACACGTTTTTTTGAATTTTCTTGACATGAACTACATTGAATAATACATTGAATTGAGTAAAGCCATTTCTTATTTCTTTCATCCTGCCTTCCGTAATACATATAAGTTCCGTTTTATTTCTTATAGCGAAATCAACTGACCACAATTTTCTTCGGGTGTAAGGCATTTGGCCCGCCAAAAGTTTTTTTGTCCGGCCAAATTTCTGTTTGGATTATAAAATTTTTTGCCATTGGCCAGCCAAAATAGCCAAAAAATTTTTGGTTAGGCCAAAATGCCAACACTTGTGTAATGTAAAAACCTTTTCTATTTATTATGTGAATTGCATGCTGACTTCATGCAAATAGAGAAGTCAAGATTTTTAATTTTCGTCCCATCTCCACATATTTGTCATTAAGTTCATATAATTCTAGGAAGGAAATCTCTAGTTAGCAAGCATTGTTTATCATTAATCCTGAAACGAAACCTTACCTGATTTGAATTGTTTAACGTCGATAATACTACTGCTATCAATTTGTAATTTATTTAAAACATCCTCGAAATAGAGATTGGATTCGCTATAGGAACTTGCCAATACAAAATTGAAAACCTCCGGAATCTGCAAAAGGTAGCGTTTGATTAATTTTTTTAATTATTTTTTTTTTTTTAAAAAAGAAAAACAGTCAATATAAGAACTTACCTCCGATATAAAATTGAAAACCTAAAAAAGATAAGGAAGGGATAGACAATTATCTCTTAACCTATAAAGTCGCCACGTTTGTCATAAATTTAGCAGTCGGAATCTTCTTCGGTAAAGCTGGAAGGCATTAATTAAAAAACAAATCCGAGCCTTTTTTTTTTTTTTAATAAATTTAAGTACTTTTTTTCTTGTCAATATTCATTCAGTCTTGTCAATATTCAGAGGACTGGAATTCTTTAATCGGAGGCATGCACTATATAGGGTGAAAGAAAATAAAAAACAACCGTACGAACGCCAATATCTATTTTCCTGATATGGATTACCGCAATAATTCAAACCGTGGATGAACTAAACATATATTGAACATACAAATCTCTGCAATACCGTATTTTCTAAACTTGAAAAAATGATAAAGAAATTTAAAACTTAATTATATGAATTAAATTCATTCAAATCTTGAAACAAAAGATTAGATTTCATATCACGCCAAAAAATAACCTGAATAAATTAAAATACTTAAAGTATGATAATGGTTTACATGTTTTTTAATAAATTTCAAGGACTTGATACCTTTTTTTGCTTAAGAAGACGCCATCGTTATATATTGTTCTCATGGTAAAAAGTCGTAAAATCTAATGGGTTTCGAAATTAACCGCTTCCTCTAACAAATAATATAATGTTAAAATAAAATTTGAATTCAATAGTTCGAATACGACTATAAAAAAGATCTCAGAGCTAAAACAAAAAAAAATAAATAACAAAAATTAACTTAATAATCGCAATAGTACTTATCTTTGAGATAAATCCGTATTTACCATTCTTTTATTTATGCTTTAGTTTATGATTAACTTTGTGGCTTGAAATTCTTTACTTTAAAAAAGGGTGCACACACACACAAGGATTTAATAGTAGACCGAAGCATTCCACAGGCAAGATATACGAAAGAGCGCGTATTTTGATTAATAGATTAGTTATTACGCGTTGGGTTGGGTGAGTTATTGTAATTCGGTTGAGAGTATTTTTTATAGATGAAGAGTCGCGAAACAGTACACTCCTAAAGAAAGGAAAGGTAACTAGTACAAATGCTGATTTTCAAGTAATATATATACTGTTATATGAGTTTGTTTCGAAAAATTCACAGGCAACAAAGTGCAAAATTATTGGAATTTTCACGACAATATTAAGAAAATAAAATACTATGCGGATTCTTCTCGAAAATCTTCAGCAAGATAGAAGAAACGGAAACCTTCATATTACAAACATTTGATATCAAGGGTTAAGTTTTTTGGTAGAATTTTATTAGAAGAGAAATTCTGATACAAAATTGCTTTTCAAAAAACTTAAAAAAAACTTCACAAAGTTTGGAATTTATGACGTGACAACGTGATCAAAACTATTTATGATTGGTCCGATCATCCCGGCATGCATTTTTCGAATAGAAACGTAGAAGTTTTAAAGTGAAAATAAAGCCAATTCGTAAATTATGTGTTAACCATTAATGTAGAGAGAGAGAAAAAAAAAATCAAAAAAAATTTGAAGTTTTTCTCTCTCTCTACAATATTATAATACATGCCAACAAAGTCTAACATAGTTAGACTAAATAATAAGCCGGGTGGGTAAAGCGGCTAAAGTAACCATGACTTATGAGAATGTGGGTAAAGCGGCTAAAAGTAACCATGACTTGTGAGATGAGATTCCCAATGTCCCTAAATCAAGCCGGGTGGGCAAAACGGCTAAAAAGGAAGAAACCATAACACGAGTGGTTAATTTACCAACCACCGTGTTAATAAAGGACCACCATAAGGTATCCTAACTGAGTCATCATATCATA